GAAGTGTTATTTTAACACTACTGTTAAGTGATTAGACTATCTGTCTGATTTAAAGTTCTTATATAAATTGTGTACTCATGCACATGTTGACTTATAACATCAATTGTTATTAATGTCTGTATGTATGATCTCATCAAATCCATATAGATGTTTTGAACTATTAGATCCATACTAGTGATGTCATAATGAATACTTGATACTCAAAGATTGTCAAGTTATATACGGAGAAGAAAGTTAGAACTTGAGCTACTGAAATAACTTGACGACTATCAAAATTTTTTGAAATCGTATGACTACCGTTGATAAGCGTAATGCTCGATTTCAAATTCAATTCTGAGAGAAAGCTAAAACAAGGCAGTAGAGAGCAAACGCCGCATTTACAAATGTGGGTGTGGGTGCGTCTACAGTCGAAATTCGAGTTTTTTTTTTTTTTTTTGCGCCAATATGAATCACACACAGCGAGCGTTGTCTTAGCGCCAAACGGTGGGGCCTGACCGACCTCGCAAGAGGTATTGCAAATAATGTGTGTGTTACATCATACACTAAGTTTATTTATAGTTGATAGTCAAAAAAGTGAATGAGCAAAATATGTCAAAATATTTAATATAATGGCAGCATTGTACTGAATGAATATGAGATTATCATTTTTGAATACTCTGTCTAGGAAGGTGATTTTTAAGTAAACTTTGATTTCACAACTTGGCCTAAGAATTTTTAAGCTAGTTGAAGCGCTACTTGATCCTCACCTGAAATGAGATTTGACTTTCATATGCTATTAAACGATCGAAGCCTTACAATAGATATTGCTTAAGTTGATTTAAATTACCATTTTATTAACAAGAGGGTACTATGTATTTTCTTGAAAATAAATTTAAAATTTGTATTAATTTGCATTATACCAATGCTATATATGAGTTGTTGAATTTCCTCAAGTGAAGGAAAAACTGTGAAGTTAAAATAACTTTGAATGTTAAAGTTATACATGTTAAATTCACCTTGTTGAAATAAATTATTCTCTAATAAATGCCAGTTTGAATATATTCCTTGCACATGAGATTAATTTCTTTCAAAAATATTATGCAAAATTTGTGATTATGTTGTTCAACATGAAGTAGCATGCAAACAACATTATCTCTTTAGCTTAAGGGCATTGAACATTTATACATATAATTTAAGTCTTGGTTGAGTCATCTTCGACCTATAAAGGACCTATAAATCTATAATTCTTGTTTAAAAGGTAATTGAGGTGGTTTGAGGTAATCAAGTTAGTTAAATATATCTAACTATTGAGTATGTAATAATTAAATGAGGAGCTACTATAGAATTTCAAAATGCAACTTTGCAAAACTCAGTATACAAAAAGCCTTGGGCACCAAAGATCAATCTAGGTAAGAGATGAAGTATATTTTAGAGTGTGTTTGGTTCGCACATGGGAATCGGAATCGGAATGGGTATCAAATACTTGGTAATGGTAATGGGTTTTGGTGAAAGTATTTAACATGTTTGGTAGTAGAGTGGAATGGAAATGGTTACTAATAGTAGTGCTTGAGAATGAATAAGGGAATGAAACCCTTATTGTATTTGGGTATGGGTTTTTCAATTGATGGGGTATTCGAAACCCATAGTAATGTTCTAAAAACCTATCAACCAAACAACAACAATCACTTTCATACCCATTCCTATAGGCAAAACCCACCAACCAAACACACCCTTAGAAAAGTATTTGTATTGTTGCATTGTGGAGGTAATTAGCTCCTTATATTTCTTCACTATAAGTTTCTCTGTGGTACTGAGGATAACGATAAAAGAGAATGTTTCATGTTAAGCATGAAATTCTCAAGGGATTATTTATGAGTAAATAAAGTACTCGCCAAATGGTACGTAAGTTTGATCAAGAGGATCAGCTTATACTTTAACATAGAAGGCTAATTATGAAGATTAGTCGTTAATAATTGATGGAATGACTTATAGTCCAAGAGGTGATGAATTTATGGTGAATCTCACTTGTGTGGTCAAACGAAGCCAAGGAAAGAGTCACAAAGCAATACACTAATTGATCATTCATATGTGACAGGTGGTTCTATTGAGACGGACCTAATGAATTCACCCCTTAACACTTTAGCATAAATTGCTTTTAAGGATTTCATACCCAATTTGAGTAGTCTATATTGAGGTAGACCTAACGAAATCACTAGCTTGAGTAAAAAGGGTTAACCGCCTTTTATGAAAGATAATGAGGTATCCTTCTAGAGCACTCATGAGCGTCTAGAGGTTCAATTGGGCTAAAATATATGAGAAGCATGCCAACACTCCCTATGACTATGGCATACACTTAAGAAAAATTAAAGGAACTATGTATCCCATGAAGAGTATCCTAAAGTCATAGGAAGCATGATGTTCTTAATGAACTACACTAGACTAGATATTGATTTTGCTATAGTGCCTCAGATGCACTATGGACTGAGGTCTTAACTATGTAGGATTCCAACAACCATGGAAGAACACTGTGATGCAAACTGGGTCAATGACGTTAATGATGTCAAAACCGCCAGTGGATATGTCTGTTCACAATATGCGGTATAGTCACTTCGTGAAAATCCACCAAACATCTTGCACAGTTAGATTAACTATAGAAGAAGAATTCATAGCACTTGATCTAGCAAGCCAAGAAGCTGAGTGGTTAAGAAATCTGTTGGCAGACGTATAATTGTGGGGGTGTCCGACACTTTCAGTGCATATACATAGTGATTTACAAACTGCTATTTACGTTGCAAAGAATAGTGTCTATAATGGAAAGAGGAGACACATAAGGGTCGGGCATAAGTCTGAACGGCAGTTGATTGCTACCGGAGTGATCTCAATGGAGTTTGTGATGTCTGAGAGATCCTCTCACAAAAGGTCCAAACCGAAAAACCGTCCTTGAAACATCAAGGAAGGTGGGGTTAAGACCAATCTTATGTGGTAAAATGAAATCATGGAAAGACTTCACTATATTTATGTTTTTAACTACTCTGTAGCTTTTAAAGGTGGTCTATATTGAGATAGACTTGACAGAGTTAAAAGTCTATATTAAAATAAACGACAAACATAAAAGTCTATATTGAGATAGACTTCACATATATAAAAGTCTATGTTGAGATAGACTTGACAGAGTTAAAGGTCTATATTAAGATAGATATAACAGACTCGAATATTAATAGTCTCTCATAAGAAGTCAAAGAGTTTGACTTTCATAGAACCTGTAACTTAGAGTTGATGTGTACATTAGAATTCAAAATTTGTCTAACCGATGAGTCCAAGAATCTTATCATTCTCGAGAAGAAAATTATTCAGTGTCACTATGTGTCAGTTCAACTTTATGTATTGCTCAGACATTATCCTTTTTAGCCTTCTTTTTTAATGTGTGGGGAATTGTTGGGAATTCATTCAATAAAGAAGCTAATCATGAGTTAGGGAGTTTGTTAAACTTCCTTCCCCTTATTTACTCTCTTTCTTGTGGCTAATTGTTATCTTTTTTGTTACTTCATCTTAATTAGCTTAGTTTGTGGCTAAAATGAGGAGATTAGTTGGAACCCTCTAGTCTAAGTATATAAACCCCCATCTCATTTTGTATGGAGACACACAACAAAAAACCTTCTTCCTCTCCTTTGTCTATTTCCCTAAATCTGAGCAATAGTCAGGTTCATCTATATTTAAACTAGTGCAAGCTTAACGTGGTTATTCAGTGTTGCATGTCGAATGCGTACCAGTTTATCTTGACTGCACCATCACCAGGCAAAAAATACTTTTAAAGCAGTGCTATATAACACGACTCCCTTATACCCTTGTTCTTGTTTCCTAAAAGATTGCCAACCTCCGTTGACGTTGCTTTATTTTCTAACAATAATGTTCTTTTATGTACAAAAATAATGTACTTTTTATTTATGGTCCACACAAATACACAATAATAATTGTTGTAGATGTCTTTGGGCCTCCCCAAAAATTAGGCAGGTACTATCATTCCATTAATAATTTTATACATTGTGATAATTAACACTTCTTTAAAATTATTTTTGAAATGTATGAGTTGCGAATTTAGATTCTAAAATAACTTGGTTTATAATTATGTGTAAATGTTTGAACTTTTTTTATATTATTAAATTTTTTTACTTATGTGGCAAGTTATGTGGATGTTGAAGTGTAACTCTTTAGGTAATTTATATGCTCATGGACCAAAATTCATCCAGCATGATAGATCCAGGACACAAATTTATTTTTAGTGTAATGCAAATATGCAATACACTAAAAATAAACCTATATTAAAATATAATGAGCTTACTAAAAATCAACATATAGTATACTAATTAAAAATGAGCATATAGTACACTAGAATTAAACTTGCAATATACTAAAAGGGGTCCATAATATAATTTACCAACTCAATAAAGTGGAGTTGATTCCTAGGTGAAGTAGCATAAATAATACAATTGTTACAAAAGACAAATATTTAGGATTAAATGTTAAATTTTAATTGTTTGAATATACGTAGTAATCAATACAGAAATTTGTGTTAATTAGTATGGGAATCATAGGGACCCAAAAGGAAAAGGTTAATAGTTCTTCCAAAAGGCTGAACCCCAACCCTAAGGCCCCCCACACCCCGACCCGACAGAGGATGTAAATCATGGTAACTCAACTGAACATGAACCACAGAGGCTAGACCGGTGCTCACTGCACACAAGGAACCCCCCTCACTTTGAGAGGTTGCTCCCACACTGCCGCTGGTGCGACTCAATCCCTGGTCATTCTTCCAAAGTTTCACCTCTGTGACCAGTTGAGCTGCCCATGCGGGTAGGAAAAGGTTAATAGTGAGGTATGGAATGGTTTATAATATAATTATAACAAGTGCTTATGTCTCTCAAGGACAAGGAGAGGAATCATTTTCTCCCTCCCAGTCCTACCAGATTTAAGGACAAAATACTGGATGCTAAATCAATGTTTTCAAAATTGAGGTATCAAAATAATCCCAATTATCCGAAAATAACTTTTATTAACATCAGATAAATCAAAAAGCAGGCCGATAAATACTTAGTAGCAAAATTTAGTAGGCATAAGGGGGAAGAAAGAAAACAGTACATACTTTTATGCCCCCGTTCCTTCCTCTTTCTATTCCTTGGAGTCGGAAACAGCACTTTTCAAACAAGCTCTCATGTTACTCCCCAGTTTCGAACAAGCATCAATACACAGCTCCATTGCCTGCACGATATTCAATATATTCACGTTTTGTACAGTGATTGCTCATTACTAGCTTATACAATTTCAGCACCAAGGAAAGTATGCAAAACACATCATTTAGGCAAAACAAACTGCATCAAAGTCACATACTTCATTAATCTTTGGCGTGGACCACTCTCCGGTGATAGTCAACTGGGTGACCTCCTTACGCGAAGCCATACATGCTATCATTAAGCTGCCATCTTGGTAGCTTTCTTCTTCTGATATGGGGTCTATGATGAGGTTCTTCCCCACACAGGACTATAATACCACAACAAGAAAAGGGAAAACAATGATTCTGAATAATTTAGCTTTGAGGAGAGAGATTTGTATGAACTCTCTTGACTGATTTGTTCTCCAACAAGTAATAGAGTGGAATACCATATTACGATATCCAAAAGAGAAAAAGAACAACTATCTTGAGATGTGTATGGATGCATACCACAGAAACTGCTGCCACCAAATCATACAACAAAATCCCTGCATCTGCTAGAGCTAGACTAGCACATGATATAATCACAGGAAGATCACCTGCAAGTAAAACATACAAGGTCTTAAAACATTGGTGCGCTTTCACAGAAATTTAGCATACCTAATTCAAGTTAGATAACCATCTATAATAATGAAATTATGGTTGAATACTTGACTTGATTAAAACAGCTCTAAACAACAGTAAAATAAAAGCCCAGTATAATTATTGTGTTGATAACTCTGCATAAATTCAAGCCAATACCCTACATATAATATGTAATAGGCTAGTAGCTTCTCGCAACAAAAAATAATACATAAAATATTATAACTTACTGCCACCAGATTCCAAAACCAAAGCAAAAACATCTACAGTGGTCTTTGGAAATGAATCTAGAATTATGGCACCCTCCAAAGCTTTATGCAGCATTGAGGAGAGCTCCTTATTCTCTGACATCTACAATAGAAGAAGAAGAAGAAAAAAAAAAAAAAAAAAAAACCCTTCAATCTCCACTAGAGACAATTACTAGAAAAAGTTAGACACAGAAAAGAATCAATAAGAACAGTGTTACAGAAAAATCTCTGTCCTCAATCATACCTGCCCACGAACAGGAGTGGCAAAAGTTGTATAAGTAACATTACAATTCAACCGGCCTGTATCACTGTACATCATTGCTTTCTTACTCTCCCTTGGCCCAAACCTAAACCAAAGGTGGACCTGATTAGTTGCACTATCTTAAAGACATTGAAGCAATGGAAAAATACAGTCTTCCAGATGTTCTTTTCTGATATCTCCTAGATTAGTTGCTTTTTTTGCAGAAGTTTTCATGCTCCTATTCACTGCCTTCTTCATTTACATTAAAAGAAAATTTTCTATCACAAATTAGCACATTACAGGTAATTCAGGACTGTTTCTGTTCTACTATAAACCAATGTGTTAAATCCCTCTAATGTCCTGCAATTAATATGAAATAATTTGGAATTCACCTGATATTTGACACAATTCAACAACACAAGCACTTTTAAAAATGTTAAGATTCCTTGACGCAAGATACAATTATTGGAGCACGAATGGGAAAATAAAAGATATTGGTGTAGAAATAGTGAAAAAACACCCCAAAAAAATCATTGGTGATTTTCTTTATTTCTTCCAACTCTACCCAATTCAAGAGAAAAGAAAATTGTAGTTAGACATAAAATAGCAAGCACAGGCACAAAATAACACATGCATGGATAGTAGATAAAGAATAAAATAAATTAAACACTCACACTGAAACAATGACCTTAGTATTTCCAAATTCTGCATATGCAGATCCTGATGCTGCTTTCACTGCACCAGTGTTTAGCACTGCAAACTCCAATCAATTATACTTGTAAATTAGTAATAAAAAAGTGCAAGAAGTAATTTTTGAATATTGTAAAACTTCCCATCTATGAGAGTAGATTGCTGTTAAAACAAAACAAGGACATAAGGGTTAAGGAACAACTTATGATGCAAAAATTAGTAGGCAAGCTTCTGGGTGCTTAGAATTTCATAATATAAAGAATAGAAGTCGAAAAGTGTTAGTCAAACTTTGAAATTTCACAGCAAATTGTTTTGGTGAGGAAATCCTTATGTCACATGTTCAATATCATGTTTTCAGTATTGATAACTGTTCCCCACAACCCAGAGTCCCAGAGATTGCTTCACCATCCACATGTAATTTCACACCCCCCCCCCCCCCCTCATCCCTTCCCCCAACTCAAATCCCCTCTCTCCATAAACCCATTTTCTCAATTTGTTCAGAAAATAATTTCATTTGATGTAATGGTGCTATATAGATGTACATTGTACTGGATAACATGGCAAGTTAATATGGAGTTATTGGGCAAGGTTCAAATAGTGTGTTTCCCAATTACTAACTATCAAGTGATTAACCAAAGGAAGTATTAAAACTAAAAGATTCCATGATAAATAAATCACGCAGAATGTTTATTTAAATGATGAATGCTAAAGGATACAGTTGAGAAAACAAACGCAAACTCAACTTAACAACTGGTAATACTAAAATTTCATGAAACTGAAGCACAATAGTGAGTTCTATTAGCTTGGTGAAGTATGGATACTGGCATTTCAAAAAACAGGGAAATTAACGCACGATTGCATACATTAGAGCTCAGCCGTAACTCGTAAGTGCTGCTAAATACTGGAACTACTAAAATTTCAAGGAATCGAGTGAACGATGACGTGATTGCAGACATTCGAGCTCAATAAGACAATAAAACCACTGATCATAATTTCAAAGGATTAAGAAAAGCGAAATGCGAGAGAGAGATGGCGAGAGTACATGCATCGCGACACCTGTAGAAGTGGCGGCCGTCGGGGCGCACCCAATCGTCGCCGGTGAGAGTGGACGGTTTCTTCACCCTCTGCGATGGAAACGGAGAATACGTCGCCGGTGTGGTCCCTGATTTTCCGGCCATCCGCGCGCCTCGTAATGAAAGCTTATTGGTTGGTCGAATGCAGCGTGCTCCGAAGCTCTCTGCGTGGGTTTCAACCGCGGGGGCTGTGAATTCCTGAAAACTTCATTGCTAACCTCTGTTTTTCCAGGTTTATATTGGGTGAGAGATGGGCCTGGGCTCACTGGTTAATATCGTATTGGATTTCTGGTCTTAAAATTGACTTTTGGGCCCCATCTGGTGGGGATGGGCTTGGGCTTACGAACTTTGATAGGAAATATTGGGCAATTTATATCCTACACCACGGCGCGCGTTGCACTGTGCGCCCAGATGCAAAACGACGTCGTTTTAATTTTTTTTTTTTTTTTTTTTTTTAAATTTCCCACCCCAGTGAATGCCAGTAATTTTTTCTGTAAAAAAAACCCGTTGTTCAAAAATGTACATAATGTTATACTAGAATACACATAATTGTATACATGAATGTACATAATTATATAACAAAATATACATACTCTTTTTAAAAGATAATACACATAATCTAACATAATACATAATAAACATAAACTTTTAATATAATACACATCAACTCTTAACATAATACACACAAATTTTCTGATTCGGATGTACATAATTGTATAAAAAGAATGTACATAATTGTATAAAAAATGCACATAACTGTATGAACAAATACACATAATTGTGTGAACAAATACACATAATCACAGCAACTTCCTACCGCGTCTCCCAAAACGACCCCAAAATGACGTCGTTTTGGGAGGCACGCGGCGCACAGTGCTACGCGCGCCGTGGTGTAGGGTATTACGATTGGAAATATTGTGAGAAAATTGCATTTTTCATCTCTAAATTATAAGGTAATTGTAGAATTCGTTCCTAATTGTTGATTTTACTTACTTTTCGTCCCTAAGTTATCATTGGCATAGCACTTTTTGTTCATTTACTAACAAAACATTAGGGACGAAAAGTGAACACGGAAAGTTAGCTTAGGGACAAAAAGTGCAACGTTAATGATAACTTAAGGAGCAAAAAGTGAGCAAGACAAAAAACTAGGGATGAAAAAAGTAATTTTCTCAAAAATTATCAAATAGACCTCTAAACTTTATACAAAGGGTTATAGGTCCATAAACTTTTAAAAGTTGCAATTAAACTTATCAATATGTTATTTTTGTACATCTAAACAAAAATATGTTATTGATATGGTATAGCCGGTTACTAAGCCAGCCAGCTCCGACTACACTCTGGCAACCGGCGATTGACGAATAGTCATCGGTTGTCTTTGAAGAAGGCAACCAAAAGGTCACCTTCTCCAATGAAAAAGGCAACCACTAGTCACCTTCTTTAGTAGAAGAATGCAACCAACAGTGGTTACTTTCTTTTAGATAAGGCAACCAACATTGGTTGTTTTCTCGGCTTCTCCAACAAAAGAAGGTGACCTGCTGGTCGCCTTCTTCAAAAGTTACCGACGAGTCAGTTGTTGGTTGTCGGAGCTAGTTAGAGTCTATTCGAAACTCTAGTGGTCGACTATAACAAGTCAATAACCAATTCTTGCGCTTGGAGCCTTGGATGCACAAAGACAACATGTTAAGAAGCTTAATTGTAATTTTTAAAAGTTCAGGACCCAATTGGCTTTGCGTATAAAATATAGAGACCTATTTAACCATTTTCCAACTTTTATATATATATATATATATATATATATATATATATATATATATATATTTATTTATTTATTTATTTATTTATTTATCCCCTATACTTATATTTGGTAGTTGCCAATTGCCCCTAAAAAATGACAGCCCTACTAGCCGTTGGTAAAAAATTGTAGGGCTTAAATTTTTTGATGTAACATTTAGATTTTTTTTTTTTCAGTTGTCCTCAACTTACAAGTTTGCCATATAACATTGTCCCACTTTTAAAGTTAGTGTCACGTTTTCCAAGCTTGCTCTTTTGGCTTCTTTAGAACAATTCCATCAACTCCTTTCTCTCTCTTTTTTCTCTACCTTGTGCTTGGTTTTCCATCATCTTCATCCCTTAGTTAAACCCATTTGCTATAGATGGAGAGAAGCAAAGGGGAAGAGAGATTAGGATAGGCTTGCTATAAATGTTTAAGGAAAATACAAATTTGTCATTATTTTGTTTGGATATAAACTTTATTTCTAACTTTTTTTTTTTACACAGTTCATTTCGTTTCTCCCAGTGGTCGGCTCTTTCCTTCGCAGTTAAATTATCTTCTGGGTAATAGCAGTTTTTCCAGGATAATTAGATTGCTGTCTAATTTTTATTAGCTTTCATATCATCTTCAGTCTCCCAAGTGGCTTCTTCCGATAACTAGTTGGACCACAAGACCTTGACTAGTTTCACCTTTTTCCTTCTTGTGTCTCTCGTCTTATAATCGAGGATTCGCACTGGTCTTTCTTCATAAGTTAGAGATTCATCCATCTCTACTTCTTCTGGTTGGATCACATGGGTGCTATCCGGTATGTACTTCTTGAGTTGCGAGACGTGGAACACATCGTGTACCTGCAATTCAATTTCAAAGCCGCTCTAAGTGAAATTACTATAAAACTCACATCCACTTTGAGGAATAACATTTTACCTTTTCCAACTCCATGGGTAAGGCTAAACGGTAAGCTACCGTCCCAATCTTCTCTACTATGTCATAAGGTCCGATAAAACGAGGACTTAGCTTTCCTTTCCTTCTGAATCTCATCACTCCCTTTGTGGGGGGACACTTTCAAAATCACCTAAATTCAAACATAGAAGTAAGATTTCAAACACTCAACTTCTAATCAAGGATAAGTTCAAAGGTTGGTAATTCACCTTATCTCCAATTTGGAACTCGACTGGCCTCTTCCCTTGGTCAGCATACGACCTTTCTCTATCTTGGGCAGCTTTCGTTCTCTCTCGTATTAGCTTGACCTTCTTCACAGTCCCTTGTAAGTACTGGGGTCCTAGCACCACACTCTCAACTGCATCCTCCCAACACAAAGGACTCCTACATTTCTGTCTGTAAAGAGCCTCATATGCTGCCATTTTGATGCTCGAATGATAACTGTTGTTATAAGAAAACTCAATCAGGTCTAGGTGCTCATCCCAAGAACCATGAAAATCCATCATGCAAGCTCTAAGCATATCTTCCAGTGTTTGTATGGTTCTTTCAGTCTGCCCATCAGTCTCTGGGTGGAAAGACGTGCTCAACTTAAGCTTGGTTCCCATGGTAGCTTGTAAAGTCCTCCAAAACTGAGATAAGAAACGGGAGTCTCTGTCGGACACTATGTCTCGAGGTATCCCATGATATTTAACCACTTTCTCAATATAATTTCTGGCCAGCTGGTCCATCGTCCAAGTCTCTTTCATGGCTATAAAGCTGGCTGTCTTGGTTAACCTATCAACAATCACCAAAATCTTATCCTTCCCGGCTTTTGTCAAGGGCAAGCCTCCCATGAAGTCCATAGAGATAGAGTCCCACTTCTTTTCTGGTATTTCTAGAGGTTGCACTAACCCCTTAGGTTTATTCCTTTCAGCCTTAATGTAACACCCCCAATTTCCATACCAATTTAAAACTTAATCATGCAGATAATCTAACCATAATAAGCATACACAGCGGAAGTCTAACTATTAAATAGATGAAAACGTAGAGTGTTACGCCACGTCCACGCTACGGTGAACGCACAGGCGTAAACAACATCAACATAATCTGTCTACAAAGGATAAGGTCAAACAACAAGTCTAAATCCAACATAGGCACACAGGCCAAAACAACTACAAGGTCTGAGGGATCTATACTATCCATCACTAGACCGCGCTCGCCTCTAATCGGAACCTGAAAGAAACACATAAATATATGGGACGACGCCCGGTCAACGAATAATGCTGGTAACCTACCAATACATGTGAAATATCATACATAGATAGGATATATATACAAAATCATTTGCGAAAAGGAATATAGTATATATACACTACAAGAAAAATTGCGAATCGCGACGGAAAAATTCCGTCGCGAATAGGCAAAATTCCGTCGCGAAACACGTTTTGCGACGGAATCTATTCCGTCGTCTATCGCCTTGTCGTATTTTGATACACGACGGAATAGTTCCGTCGCGAATTATGGCGACGGAAAAAGGCATCGCAAAATTGCAACGGAAATATTTCCGTCGCAATTCCGTCGCCATATCTGAAACAAATATTCCGTCGCCATATCATTTTTTCGTCGAGATTCCGTCGCATTTTTTTTAATTATTTATCAAAAAATGTATATAAAATTATTATTTTTAAATAGTAATGAATGTTTTTAAAATATTAATATAAAACTACAATAATATAAAAAACACTATTAATTCTAAAATAAAATATAACATAATTCTAAAATATTATCAATCCACATTAAATTCAAATAATAATACAATATCAATCTAAAATATTATCAATCTACATTAAGTGTTTAAAAAATACGTAGTAATACATTATCAATCTAGCTGCAACATGCAGAGGTGTTGAACATGAAAGACCTAGTTTATTAGGTCTAAACAAAAATCCACCACCTAGAGCCTCCTCATATTCCAACCTCAGCTCATCAGCTACTCTATCTGGAGTATATCTCAACAGTAGCTCCACCAAAGGCCTTGAATTTCTCCTAACAGCTTTGTGAAGGAGACCCATCACAGAGTGAGAGCATGGAAATTACCTTGCCAATCACCTCTCTGAAGAAGATCCTCTAATGCCATTTTCTAAGACACAGGATGAATAGCTGATCCCAAAATAAGAAGATTTAAAAAGTTATTTACATCTATGAAGCCTCTACCAGCTGCTTCAGGAAAAGAACATGTAAAATTTACAGATTGGATTTCATGATGCTCCTCAAGCTCATTACTATGTTCTGATTCCTCTATACTGGCTTCTAGAACAAGATAGCTCCCTTCTAATGCAGTGTAGCCTGGCAAAAGGAATTCGAGAAAAAATAGCTCACTTAATTATGCAAAAGTAGTTTTTACAGCGACATAGTAATGCAAAAATTGATTCCTAATGGAGAAACAGTAGGGTGACCATCCACGAACAGCACTTTTAGGATTATCACACACACACAAAGAATGACAAGGGCACAATAGTAATATAAAGCATACCTTGCCAAGGGCGTAGATAAGTTAAAGCCTTTAACTGTAAATTGAGATCTCAGGTACGGCAATGGGCTTCACACTTAGAATTGTACTGTACTCATAACTGTTGAAAGGCAAGGACGTTACCACAAGAACCTTACATGTAGAAACAATAAAATAGCAAATAGAAAAATAAATCCATCTCAGATTAGGAATTAATAAATAAATCAAAAGAAAAACAATTTTTTTTCTACTCCTTTGCAGGGAATTGGGTGAACTATCCAAAGAACATTTAATGTGAACAAACCACTTCACAATAATGCTATTTGTTTCTACACCCTAATGTAAATCCATCCATTTCTCCATTAGATTTCATGCTTAGTTAACAGTTATCATATATCAAAATAAGCTAATTGTTACTAACTTTTGAATTTTCAGCTTTAACCTAGCTTACAAGTTAAGTATGCTAAACAAAACCTCAGTTGCAACCTATTTAAAATACAAATGATTTTGGAAAAATACTGAGCTCTCCCCTTTTCGTCTTTCCTGATAATAGTCCAAATTATTAGAAAAACATTTCATCAACAAAGATGTGGAATGACATCATCATGACATGTAATCAAGAGAACTAAATATCATAAACCAAATAAAACCACCAAATTCCAACAATTTTCTCATGAATATGGGCACAGAAAGAAAATGAAGAATAAACTGAAGCATCGTGTCAAATAAAGCAAAATGGTGATGCAAGCATAAGCAAACCCATAATTTACAAGCAGATATTGTATAATATGTTTTGTATATATCATGAACTAATAGTAGTTTAACTCTCTAAAGTGAGGATGATACAATCAGTATGAAACAAAGAAGTATTGATGCACGCAAGATAGAATATGTGATAAAGAACAATAAAGAGTGAGTTTCAAACCTAAAGATCCAACAACACCAACAATATCTCCACGCTTCACAGCAGAGTGAAGTTTAATAAACCCCTCCTCACCTAACTCAGATTCCCTTGAGACATAAAATGCAAGCTTCTAATTACTGGAGGTAAAAAGCAATGTGAATGTAGAACAATAGGAAGGAAAGTAACACCAGCACAGCTCAGATAGACTTAAGAAGCTCATATTAAGAAATGAATTGTTTAAACCAAGTTATGAAGTAAAAAACTAAACTTTTATGGGACAAACTAACAATCAGAAAATCAAATTTGTATAGACATGCAGTAGTTCTTATAAGACCACTCAATCACGACCTCCAAGCCACAGTGTGAATTTCAGTACCTTGCATTGGCCATAACTTGAACTTTGGCACCCTCGGCATGTAAATCATAGAAAATCAGCTTGGACGAAGAGGCACGTTTGGTCATAATTCGACCTTTTCCATTATACAAATTTCAAACATTACTAAAAATCATTAAAGATATACTGAAATTAAGAACATGTAGCAGGTGTTTCTACAACACTTCCAATTCATTAGGGACTAACAAAATACCAGCTATAGAGACTTGGTCATCACGGTGCTCCCCGCTTTCCAATCCCTGATATTTCTCAACGTACTCCGGAATAGAGATGGTGACCTGGAATTTGTGAGGGTACGGGTTCACCCCGGCTTCCTTTTGAGCCGTCAGTGCTTTCAACCTGTTCTCAAAGTATTGCTGCAGAAGAAATCGAAACAAAACTTATAAGCTTGAAGACGAATTAAGCAGAAATGGAAGAGGGAGGGCGAGGAGTTCTTGTTACCGTTGGATCCATCTCGTCTTCCGCCGCTACTGCTGTGCGTTCTTGTTATCGGATTTCCCCGCCGATTGAGAGCTTGATGGAGCAATCGAAGCACCTCCGGCGATTTTGCGAGGAAGAAAGGGAGATAGTGACTGTTGTTGGCGTTACTGTGCGTGTTAGACTAGGGTTAGTGAGTTGCGTGAACGAAGTATTAATTTGATTTTCTTTTCTTTTCTTTTTTTTTTGAGAAATAATTTGTGATTTTCGAAACGCCAATAAAAATTAACAAAAATATTGCGATAGAATACAGTCGGTCGCAATTTCCGTCGCCATTTCGCGACAAAACGAAAATCGGTCGCCATTTTCGTTGCGAAATAGACGACGTAACTTACTTCCGTCGTAAATTCGGTCGTGAAACGCCGCCAATATTTCGCGGGCTTTATATTCACTTTGCGCCAAGATTCGCAACGGAATTCAATTCCGTCGCCTTTTCCATTGCCATTTTGCAACGGAATGTATTCAGTTGCAGTTTCCGTCTTTATATTGCGACGGAATATTGTCCGTTGCGATTTTCCGTCGCGATTCGTGATTTTTCTTGTAGTATATAAGTACAAAGCCAAGAGTAGAAGTCAATCACAAGGCTCAATACACTCACAACGAAGACAAGGGAACACATCCCAAAACCACAAGAAGTACCACGACACACAAGAACGGCTCAAGATGTATTCTACCATCACTCAGTAGAATAACACCCGACATGCACAACACAAGCGAATCAAGAAACACACATTGGCAACACATGCCTTTGTGACAACACATGTCAAAAATAGAGAAATACACAACAACGGCAACACATGCCTTCGTGACATCACCCATCACAAATTGATATGCCATCCTTATGCCCGGTTCCAACCTTATGGCTACCCCCAACCTTATGTCTAGTTCCAACCATTACCTCCAGGACCCCTGTACACCAAGTCCAACCTTTTCCCTCCGAGGACCGTCGTCCCCATTCGCCAACGACCGCCAACAATTCCACCAATTCATAGTACACGAGGGTACCGATCACACACATGGCAACACATGCCTCCCAAGAAATACGTGAACCCGACACACAGGTCACAAACTCCATAATCACGTCATGGCCACCACGAGGACCACTGTCGTACCTTGGTGACTAATGTCCCATACCATTAATCGTGCAATCCAGGTACAACCACACACACAACACCATCATAGGAATCAATCAACGGATCACAACGAAGATATGAAACCATACTCAACAAGAGAAGGATCACAATCCGACAACAACGATGATACACAAGTCATCATCTACAATAGGAAAGAACAAACCACACACGCTAGCATTTAAACACCGAACTAGCATGCTTATCAAACGGGTAAACCAAACATAGTTCCGAAGAACACACAAGACTCATCATGGTTCAACGAATCACAATGTTGAACACTTAGCACGATTCAAGACACCAAAACCTACATGGATTCCTACCGTATAGTTCTATACATACGAAACATCAAGAAGACACTCAAATAGTTCCACAAAAGAACATCGGGAAGTCAAAAGACCAAATACCGAGTCAAAAGAATCACGGGGAACAAATCCCCGCACAAGCCAACATTGTACCCCGCGGGTGGGGCCACGGGTGGACCCCCACCCGTGGTTCCGCCCGCGGGAACCAACTCCCACTGGCCTTGTACCCCGCGGGTGGGGCGGCGGGTGGAGCTCTACCCGCCGTTTCGCTCGCGGGTACAATACCCTGTACCAAAACATCCCTTTGGGATTTTCAACACCAAGCTAAAATTCAAGTCCAAAACATGCCAAATCTCACCAAATACAACAAAATGACTTGAATCAAAGGAATAGCCAAGCAATGACATACAAGAACCCTAATAACAAGCTCTAGATATGCATTTTCACAAGACAATGCATCAACACTCACATTTCATAGCAAAATCATATGTAGAATCCAATAAATCATCATATAGGTAAGCAAAATAAATTTTGTAGAGCATGGGTTACCTCTTGAAGACTCAACCTTCACTTAAAACACTTCTCAAAGCTCCTAACAAGGTTCACCTTCCACACCCACTTCAAGAACACACCAAAAGGTCATAACGATTTCACCTTTAGAAAAAGATACCTTAGAAAACACTAAAAATACAAAAGGAGCATAGATCTTACCCTCCTAGATGCTCAAGAGAAGGAAAGGTGGAATCTTAGAGACAAACTTTGAAGATCTTGGTAACCCTAAACTTAGCTTGGAGAGAAAGCTAGCTAGTTTTTAGAGAGAAGGAAGAGCTTTTGATTTGAAAGTGTTAGGAAAGAAATGAAAGGTGTCTTCTAGGTTAGCTTGGAATACAATCATGATGGAAATGTCTTCTTTACCCTTACTAAGATGAAAAGTGTAAGGGAACAAGGGAACTATTCACAAAGCATTAAATACAACACTTGACTTGGGTTGACTAGTCAATTACTAGTCCCCAACTATTGAATTTTCAGGAATTTAAGGGATTAAATTACCAATTGAGTTAGGATTAATTACTTAATTAATCCCTAAATAGAATTTGGATTACGGGGTGTCACACTTAACTTTTTGACAATTTAAACATCTTTGTACGAACTTGGCTATCTCTCTCTTCATCTTTGGCCACCAGAAATGCTTCTTAAGATCTCCATACAATTTATCTCCACCTGGGTGTACTGAATAAGGAGTGCAATGCCCTTCTTCCATGATTTGCTTCTTAATCCCCTTACATTTCATCGGTACGCACCAACGTCCCTTGTATCTAACGCTCCCACCGGCGTGTATCTCGAAGGACCCACACTTCCCATCTATCATCTTTGCCCTCACTCACTCCAACTTGACATCCCCAGTTTGGTTCTCTCTTATCTCATCGAAGATACTTGGTGTGATTCTCAAGGTATACTGTAACACCCCTAATTTTTAAAACATTTAAAGCTTATGAAATCAAGGAACATCTATTATTAATCATCCAAGCACCAAATGGACGAACATTGTGTGAAAAAATTGACAACTCACTAGGTACTGCCTCCCCATCATTATTTCTATCTTGCTTGTTGAAACGAGTTTCTATTCCATCAAGGTATAAAGAAAGAAATGTTAAGCATTCACTTGCAACATAACCCTCAGCAATTGAACCTTCTGGACGAGCTTTATTTCTCACATAATGTTTAAGAGAGCCCAAGAACCTACAACGTTCATGAAGTTAATTAAAATATGTAAAGTTGAATGTAATTAAGACACTTGTTATATAAGACATTACCTTTCAATCATAAACATCCACCTAAATTGAACTGCCTCCCCAAGGATAGCCTCTTGTGGAAGGTGAATTGCCAAATGTACCATGACATCAAAGAAGGCCGGTGGATAAATCATCTCCAACTTACAAAGTATGATAACAATATTATTATGTAGTGCCTCCAAATCTGTCAACTTTAAGGTTTTACAACATAACTGCCTAAAGAAATCACCTAACTCAGATAACACAGTGGCAACTTCCTTTCCCAAGCTTCCACGCACTCCAACAGGTAGTATTCTTTGTAATAACACATGACAATCATGACTTTTTAAACCTATCAATTTTCCATCAGTTGTTACACATCTATATATGTTAGAAGCATAACCATCTGGAAACTTAACAGACTCCAAAAATTCAGCAAATTTCAATCTCTCATTTCTTGTTAGCATGTAACATGGATGTGGAACCTCATATGATCCATCTGCTCTCTTAACCAAATGCAATTCTTTCCTAATATTCATATCCTCTAAATCTTGTCTTGTTTTCACTGTGTCCTTATTCTTACCATCAATATTTAACAAAGTTCCAATGATATTATCACAAATATTTTTCTCAATGTGCATAACATCGAGATTGTGCCTCAATTTTAGCTTGCTCCAATAAGGAAGCTTGAAGAAAATACTTTTCTTACTCCAATTAAGCTCTTCAGGATTTCTTTTTCTTTTTCTTATATTTGGATGCTTTCCAAATGGAGTGTCACTTACACTTTCTAGTTGCTTTAACACTTCCTCACCAGATAATTCTAGAGGTGCACTTCGACTCTCCACATGCCCATTAAATTTTTTGCTTCGACGCCATGCATGGTTAGTGGGCAAGAAACGACGATGGCCTAAAAATCCCAACTTACTCCTCAATCTTTGAGAACATGCATCATCATTGCAATTTGGACATGCCATGTATCCTTTAGTAGACCATCCGGACAAATTTCCATAAGCAGGAAAATCATTTATAGTCCAAAGAATAGAAGCATGCAATTGGAAATTTGTTGAAGAATAAGAATCGTAAGTTGTCACACCTTCAATGGTTGCAAATAAACATCAATGTCTCTACCAGGAGCTTTAGGACCAGGTATAAGTAGTGTTAACATAAAAAATGAGTCTTTCATACACATCCATGGTGGTAAATTATATGGAATTAATATCACTGGCCACATGCTATAAGCATTACTCATATTTCCAAATGGGTTGAATCCATCAGAAGCTAAACCAAGCCTAACATTTCTTGCATCATTAGCAAACCATGGAAACTCTTTATCAAAATCTTTCCAAGCTTTAGAATCAGCCGGATGACGTAAGTACTCACCATCGTCAATTCGTCTTTCCTTATGCCACCTCATATCATTTGCAATTTTTTTTTTGACATAAACAATCTTTGAAGCCTAGGTTTTAGAGGAAAGTATCTTAATATCTTATGAGGAATATTTTTTTCCTTTACCACCCTTGACTTTCCATCTAGAAGTACCACATATAGGACAACAATCAGCTTTCTCTAATTCCTTCCAAAATAGCACACAATCATATTTGCATGCATGAATATTTGTGTATCCTAATCCCAAGTTACGAAGCATAGCCTTAGATTCATAGTGAGAATGTGGGAGTGTATTGCTATTAGGTAAGCATTCTTTTAGCAATTCAAGCAGCATGTCAAATGATTTATTGCTCCATTTATTATACACCTTCAAATGAAGCAACTTCACAGTTAATGATAATTTTGAGAATTTAGTGCAGCCGGGATATAATTCTTGTTTTGCTTCTCTCAATATGTTCTCAAAATTATCAACTTCACCACTGTGAGTATTAGGATTTAACTGTGAGTTGGAGTTTACAAAATTTCCGTATTCATTTAAGAACTCATAGACTCCATCTAAATTTTCATCATCCGAATCATCATACTCAACCTGAGAACCATTATTACTTGGTTCTTGAAAAATCGGTGGCTCTCCATGGAATATCCAACGTGTGTAATCTGTGTCTATTCCATTTTGGCGCAAATGCATATAAACCACGCTTTGATTTAAGGATGTTGTGTTTAGACATTTTTTACATGGGCACCTAATCTCACAATCATGTCCCAAGTGATTTCCCACAAAGAACATAAAATTCTTAAGTCCTTCTATATATTCATTAGACCTTTTATTCTATGTCATCCATGCTTTATCCATATTAAACACAGTACCTATTACAACATATAAGTTGTTATTTATAATGTAAACTAATTTTTCATATGAAAAAATCATTACATACATTGATTCAATATTTTAAGATACATACATACATACATGCATACATACATGCATATATATATATATATATATATATATATATATATATATATATACACACACACACACACACACACACACACACACATACACAATTTGAAAAATTAAAATAACGGATTATAGAACTAAATATTGTTTTAAAATTACTACTTACTTGAAGGGAGGTGCTTTACTGGATTCTTGTATATTAGAGCTAAAAAGTGTTGCCTAATCTGAAAAATTAAGATTAGCAAATAATGAATTAAATATTGTTTTGCAATGTAAAAATATTTTTAGAGATTTCATAGTTATTAAATCTCAAGAAAAGTATTTAAAAAAAAAATACCTCAAGAAAAGCAATAAGAAATTAGTGATATAAGTTTGCTTCTCACACTAAGCAATGATCCATTACAACAAGCAACTAAAATCAATTCATATATTGTCATGTCCAAGAACCATGAAACACACATTGCATAGGATAATTATTTAGACTTAGCCTAGAAACATGACACATAAATCATTAATCTTTTAAGCCAATTCCTTGATTTTCTTTTCAGATTTCTTTATGTTGAATAAGGTCCCAAACCTTGCAGAAATCATTTAAATATCAAAGCTAGTTACTAGGTTACAAAACCCATAATTCAAGAGCCAGCAATCTTCTCTTGTTGTACAGTGATCCTTAATTTTCTTCAACATTTTCAAGTTTGATGATTAATGACAAAAAAAAAATTATGTAGAGAAAGTATTGTTATGTAATTATCAAAACAATAGGTATACTTAAAAGGTTATATATGCATACTTTATAGAGGCTTTGAGGTATTCAAGAATCTTAGCATCATTAGTTTATATTAATTGCTAACTAAGTTCTTTATTGATTTTATCCCCTCCTACTTACCACTCAAAAAGAGTGAAAAGAAAAAAAAAATTCACATCATAAAAAAATACAAAGAAAATTTAAGAATCACCACAAAGCAGGCAACTAATAAATTTTTGTTTTCTTCTAAGATCTGTTCTTAATATCTCTTACATTTTATTGGATAATGGTGGGTGTGATTAACATAAACTCAGACAAACAAACATGTTAAGATGGTAGACACAACATCATTGTGAAAAAATAAAAAGAAATGCACAAAAAAAGAAAGAAAATGCTTTATTACCATGTACTATCAAAGTAAAAGATGAGTATTTTCATTCATTCATTCAATTCAAATCCCATCAGAATCATAATACATACACAGAACCCAAGAAACTTATGAAGCTAAGGTCCATTCTCCCCCCTCTCTTCCATCCCTTCTCAAAATTCAAAAACCTGTTGTAGCACTGGTATATCCCCCTCTCATATGTCTTGTTAATATCATTAAACAACACTAACATATCATGTTGCTATTGTTGTTGCAAATGTTGTTATTACAACTACACCTCAAGTCATCTACAAAATATGCCAAAATCAACACTCGAATATATCTAAGCAAAAACTAGATGCCTCCCCCAAAACCTCCCGAACCTGCAGAAACTGTAACAAACAGCAGTAAATTGCTGCTTCCTAAGCCTTCTTAGAGGCCTCATTCCCCCTTAGCTTAATAAACTGAAACCATCATCTGAACCCAACATCAACCCCAAACAAAACACCTCAATATCCATCACCAATCAAAACCAACAACCAATCCACACTAAACTACAACCACCCAAAACTACAGCAGCTAATCCTTGCAACATCATCCCCTAAACTCACATCAAAATCAATGTCTAGCCTCACCTCAAAACCACCTACAAATACCCAAATCCCACCCCAAATCTGCTAAATCATGTAGCCAAAACTACAAGATTCATTAATACCCTATATTAATATGTTTATTACTAAACCCCTTACTTAGGTATGAATAATTCATAATAAATTTAAATATATATAATAAAAAACAAATAAATCACAACAATGTAAAAAAACAAAAACAAAAAAAAAAACCTAGAGAAAAAGCTATCATATTCTAATTAATGAGAGCAAAAATCACCCAAATAATACCAAAAATAGAGTTTATACATGAATGCTTTGGTGGAGATTAGTTGATTAGGGTTTGAATTTACCTTAACATGAATCTTCTCTTGTAAGCTTGGGTCCGATTCTTTGGAAGACTTCCACTGGGTTTTGTAGAGATGAAGGTTAGGTATTATATATGATGAAATAGTAAGATTAGAAGTAGAGAAAATTATATTAAAGTGTAGGGAGATGAGGGGAAAATCAGAGACACAGAGTGCCGCGGTGGTGCCTGGAGCGGTGCCGACGACGGTCCTGTGGTGGTGCCCGGAGCGGTGCCGACGACGGTACTACCGATTGCTGCTGTGTGATGTAATCGTTGAAGAAGAGGAATAATGTTGCTCTGGTTTGTAGAGAGAAGTGAAAGTACTGCTATGCTATTAACGTATTGGGAAGAAATATTTTAGATTTTTTTTTTCTGAAGAGAGTGTGTTTTAATGGCGCCAATTGATAAATAGTTTTCCCGCAAAAATATTTTCACTTTTCCCGACGTTTTATGTTAAAATTGATTTTTAAAGTAAAAATTTAGAGACGTTTATTATGAAACGTCGTTAATTCTATATCTTTACTGACAAAAAATGTATATTTCGTCAGTAAATATTACCAAAAAAATTTATTGTCTCTACCAAAATATATAGTGACGTTATTTAATATAACATCCCAAATTATTATATTTAGCGACGTTTTCTAGAGCGTTGTTAAAATTTTCGTCGGGAAATGAAAGATTTCTTGTAGTGTATATATATATATATACATATATATATATATATATATATATATATATATATATATATATAATATATGTATATATATATATATATATATGTATATGTATATATATATATATGTATATGTATATGTATATGTATATATATATGTATATGTATATGTATATGTATATATATATATATATGTATATGTATATATATATATATATATATATGTATATGTATATATATATATATATATATGTATATATATATATATATATATATATGTATGTATATATATATATATATGTATATATATATATATATATATGTATGTATGTATATATATATATATATGTATATATATATATATATATATATATATACATACATACATATATATATATATATATATACATATATATATATATATATACATATATATATATATATATACATATATATATATATATACATATATATATATATATATACATATATATATATATATATACATATATATATATATATATATATGTATGTATATATATATATATATATATATATATAATAGAAGTTTAGGATAGTTGTTAAAAAGGACTCGACGTGTCAAGCAGAGACGGCGGACGCGTAGAAAGTACCGTGCACTAAGCTTCATTGCAATGAAGATCTTACTTTGGAATAAGGACCTTGATGGTTTTAAGGCACCGTAAGAAATACATGCGACACACAAAATCACCAACGTCATGCGACGTCGAGAGCAGTTAACCAAATGCATTCCAAGAAAGAGAAAGGCATCACTAAGCATTTGGTCGCTAAAGGATTAAATGGGACCGGACGACAAGCCAAACTTCAAGAAAGACCAAAGGGGGCTTGTCGTTAGCCAAGACAAGGGAAAGATAAGAGATTGGATTACAACCAGCTACCTTATGCAGATCTCAAGATTGCCAACTATGAAAGAGACGCGACCTATTGAGCGATTAGTAAGGGCCTACATGAACCCTTGGGCAAAGGAACCATGGATCACCTCAAGGTTTTGACTTTGGTAAACAACTTAAACCCACGTCTCGTTTCCAAAAAAGGTATTATTGATTGTGTTAGTTGTGAAGTTACAGTTGAACCCTACGATTCAACCAACTAGGAATGATTGACAAAAAAAAAAAAAGAAAAAAAAAGAGAGAAACATGCAAACCAAGAAGTCGAGTTGAGAACTTGTGCTATGGATTTACAAAGGCCTCAAGTCAAGCGCTAAGGATGGGCCGAGTTTCTTACAATCTTGATTATCGTTCGCATCCTCAAAGAACTCTTTCAAGAATTTGTAAAGAGCAAGAATG